ATGGTGGAGACCTAATTGAACATGAAGTTAGAAGTTTGCAGCTAGGCGCAAACCCTAAACCCTAAACCCTAAATCCCAATGTCTGGGAGCCATAAGTATGTTGACCCGTCTCCGGGTTGGAGGACTGGAACAACAAGGCCTGGCCAGGGTGGAGCCATTGGTTGGGGGGCCTGCGTAAATGAAATAAACTATGTACTTGACGCCTGCGAATCGTGTTTAGGTGTCCTGTCCCTGCATCACATGAATTCCCTAAAAGATCATTTCCGTGTACACACCTTAGCCCGCATATTTTCGGGGCCCTCTGTGAATGACCTTATGACCGGGTCATTTGCCCACATCACAAAGAGACGATGTTGCATATGGGGCAACGCAGCTGTGGCAAACAGCTGTTACGGGCTCACCTTAAAACCTGAACCCTTAACCCTGAACCCTAAGCCCTAGACCCTAAACCCAAAACCCCAAAACCCTTACAAACCCTAAACCCCTAAAACTTCTAACACCCTAAACCCCCAAACCCTTACAAACCCTAAACCCCTAAGACCCTAAACCCCAAAATCCTTACAAACCCTAAACCCCTAAAACCCAAAACCCCTAAAACCCCTACAAACGGAGGCTGTTTGGTGGAGACGGTCAGACCTGGCTAACGCAGCATCCTTACTGTTTTGTTTCATGTCCGGGCTCCAGAGGGGCAATTACGAATAAGAGGTTTAGGGTGTAGGGTTTAGGGTTTAGGGTTTAGGATTTTAGGGTCTTATAGGGGTAATATGGGGGATAATGGAAAAGAGAATAGAAACTACTATTTTGATGATAAATAGGGATTATGTGAGGTTTAGTGGTTTGGGGGTTAAGGGGTTTAGGATTTTAGGGTCTAGGGCTTCAGGGTTTAGGCTTTAGGGTTTAGGATTTTAGGGTCTAGGGCTTTAGGGTTTAGGCTTTAGGGTTTAGGATTTAGGGTTTAGGGTTTAGGGCTTAGGGTTCAGGGTTTAGGGTTTTGGGTATTGTGGGAAAAGGGGATGATGTAGGGATAGCATATAGTGATAATACCCCCGCAAGAATGGATAGTCAAGTGGAAGTAGAATGACATAGATGCTTTCTTACTTACTCTATTCTTTGACGAAACCTCGTGGTTTCCAAAAGTAGGGGTACCAAATAGGACCCTAATCTATTATAGTCCTTATCGAATGGAACCCCTAATTGTAAGCGCTAGCGCCAGTCGCCTGTCGGCCGGAGGGCAGGGCGAATTTTGGGCAACCCCACTGTATATAGTAGTAATAATAGTAAACAAAGTAATAAATTAAACAATAATGTAATAATAGTAATAGTAGTAACAGTAATAGTATAAGAATAGTATAATAATTCCACGCCAGCTCGCGTTCTGAATTGGAGACGCCTCTTCCCAGCTGCCTAAATCCCAAAAACTTACCAGTCTCAATTTCGAGTTTCATTTTTTTTTCTGGTGGGGGGGGAGGGGTGCTCTCCCCAAGTATACCGACATAATATAGGGATAATGGAAAAGAAAATGGAAACTACATCATCCGTGTAAAATCCCTCTATGTACTTCCTTATTATCAGCAGCTGAAGTTTGACCGAGGCTTTTTGAGGCCATTGTGCAGATGCCGCGCCAGGTTTCCTTAATGCACTGCAAGAATGAGTGGCCGGGCGCTTGGCTGCATGGGGTTTAAGGTTTAGGGGGCTACTGTTGGTATTAAACATCATGCATAACCTTATTGTATTGTAATGTTGTAGTTCCCAAGGTACTTAGGGTCATGCAGGATTTTCGGGTATCCACCGTATTTTCACATAGGTACATACATTACGCAGTTTGAAGGGTATTAGGGTATTATGGGGCTCTGTGCAGGTCTTGATGGAATTGCCTTCAAATTCCCCCGGCAAGATTGCAACTTCGGTGGGTACTAAAACATCCTGCATGACCCTAAGTATCCGAAACCTGGGGAAGAATGGTATTATAAGATAGCAAGGTCATGCTGGATGTTTAGTATCAACAGTAGGTACCCCTAAACCCTAAACCCTGAGTGCGATGCACGTGCCTAAACCCTAAGCCCCAAACCAGTATCAACAGCAGGTACAGAATATGTGTTGTGTTGGTGTGATCAGGCGTTGGGCTGGCGTCAACGGAACAAAGTCGGAATGGCACAAGGCCAATGCCGATGTGTAGGAGAGCTATAGAGTGCTTTAGGGTTTAGGGTTTAGGGTGGAAATGGGGATAATGGACTAGAAGATGGAGCGACGACATTGTAAAAGGATATCTATATATATATATATTGGGGTTATCGTAGGGAATTAAGAAATATATATATATATATTTACAGGGTTATGTGGGGATAATATCCATTGCCTGATTGGTTTGCTGTATCTTGGAAGGTCCTGTCCGAGCCCATCCGTGTCTTGGAAGTCACCTGCCCGTTCAGGCCAAGCTTCTTTACCATGAGAGGTTACGTGAAGAATAAATCTCCAAGCAAGACACGAGGATTCCATGCCGATGATGGATGTTAGCCGATTTTTCTGTGTTTAGCAAACAGCCAGGTCGAAAGGTTTCCTTATGCCTGGCCCGATCATCGTGTAGACCTCTCAGTGCTCTGGGAAACCGGCCATCCAGTGGATGCAGTGAGGTGCTCCGTATGCCAAAGTTTCACACTTGTTGCCCAGGCAGCCTAGCTCCCCGTCTGGGCATCGCGAATGGCGTGACATCGCAGTAACTTGCTTTCGCATGGTGCGGGTCCCAGAGATCCTTTGCCATTTTCTCACAGCCTGGTAATGCCTGGCATTTCTACATGCTTAATGTACCGGCTAAGAAGCACGCGGCGTAGGCCATCTCTAAGAGGGTGAGCGTTGGTCATGACCACTATTAGCGGTTGTTCCCTTCATAAGTCAACCACAAGCCCAACAATACCCCAGTCATTGTTTGATCCGCGCAGCATGCAGGCGTTCGTTGCCATTCTGATCCTTGTATGCGTGGCGCAGGCACGCCTTTTGGCCCTTTTGGCCTCTCTTGCCGCCTCATGTGAGCTATAGTCTAAACTCCTTAAAGGGGGTTATATAGGGGATCATAGAAGGGAGTATTATAGGGGTTATTCAGCGGGATACTCGGCGTTTAGACTACAGCTCATGCTTTGCATCAAGACCATGGCAGGTTGTCTTGTTACTGGGTTGCATTGCCATGCTTGTCATGCAGATCGGCCCAGAGCTTGGATCTGCAAGCAGTTGAAACACATCCCTGAATAATATTGCTACTAAGAGCAAGAAAAATGAAAGTAATAGTTGTAAGCATCATAGTATGACTAAAAGTATTTATACTGGTAACAATAATAGGAATAACACTGGTACCCATAATGGTTATCGTAACAGTTACGACAATGAGAGAGAGAGAGAGAGAGTAATCGGAATGACCACCTGCAGGGTTTCAGATCAATGCGTACCTAGCCCCAGGCATGCAGTGGCGAGTGGTGCAATAGGCCTGGTGCCCCAGAGTTGGCTCTTGCTATTGTTATTAGTATTTTAATTATGACTGTTATCATCATGATTGTTATCCTTATCAGTATTATTACTATTCATATTACCATTATTATGACAATGAACTTTTTCGATTATCCGTAGTGGTATTGAGTGATTTCTTTGCCTGTTGAGGTTCGCGTCGAATCGGCAGAGAGATCGTGGACAGCAATTTTTTCAAGCCTCCAAATAGTCAGGGTGGCGAGCGATGCGAAATCAAGCTCGCTGTTTCACCTCGCGAAGACATAGGCATGTGGGTCTACAACCCTAAACCCTAAACGCTGAACGGAGACATTAGCCATGAGCATGCCATTTCTCCAGCCTTTGCAATCCGTTGAGTTTCCGGTAGCAAATGCTGTAATCCATATGAGCTATAGTCTTAACTCCTAGTATCCCCCGTAATAACCCCTATATTATCCCCTATGTAACCCCATTTAAGGAGTTTAGACTACGGCAAATAAAAGACCCTGATACAACCCTAGGTCCTTTACAACACGTTTCTTGAAGAGCGGCACCCGAATCTTGTGCATCGCGGCGAGCCCGTCAGTGTGCATGTCGACTCGACCGCTTAGGGTGGCTGAACCCTGTTACTAAGGACTTGTATAGGGCTACTCTAGGGGCTCTAGGGTTGTTTTGAGATTGTATAGGTCTATCAATGGTAGTTTCCCCAAATACAGGGAGCCGAACATACACCCCAATACATTATAATCCGTATTATTGGGACCCAAAAAGGTACCCATAATTTGGGAAAACCGGCAAACATATTAAGGGATCTATAGGGATTCCTGATGCCCACTATGGAGACCACTGGCACCCTAGCAAGCCTCATTCGCTCCGTCTGTTGCCGAGATGGCCTCAGCAAGGAAACTGCAAGAGATGACGGGCAACCAGCTCACATACCCAGATGCTTCCTGGTGGTTAGATGTGGTTAGCAAGGAATAAGGGAAGATAATGCTCATATAGTCCCTAGATAATATATTCCCTTTTTCCCTATGAGCCCCAAGCAAGCATGAGTCAAAGTGCCGTACAGTCTGAGAAGTACATTTCGCAGCAACGTGTTGGACAGCACCTTGAGACCTTGCGATCACCTCGTGTGAGCTGTATGTGGGTATTGGTCTAAATTCCCTATAATACGGGGTCCTATATTTGGGTTCCCATTATAATACGGGGCCCTATATAAATTTCCCCCATTTTGGGAACAGTAATTTAGGGAAACTACCATGTAGTGGCAGCTCCTGTGGCCTTCCCAGATGCACCAGGCACGTCCTGTCTTGGGCTCTGTTTAAACCATGGCTTCATCTACTCTGGTAGTAAGACCCTTCATTTTGCAGCTGCAAAGAAACCGTCAGAAGGTTCAGAAGCAGTTCAGAAGCGCCGGAAGCCTCCCACAGATTTGGTTTAAAGTTGGCTTGTGCATTTGTGTGCAGTCTTGGCTCCAACCATGTAATGTGTGTGTGTAATGGCTAGGCGCTAGCTAGTGGACTTGTCAAATGGCGGCGGAGATCATGAACAGGGAGGCCTTTGCTGCGGTCTTGGACAGATCGTGGGCGGGCTTCCGGCAGCAACTCTTGGACATCTACCCAGTCTACTCCGGTGTGCCGTCACCAAAGCTGGAGTTTGCTGAGCTTTCTTACTTAGCCTCCAACCCGGCGAGCCCAGCAAGTGTGGCAAGTGTCCTCAAGGACTGCAGTGTGATCTCCTTCCCAACCAGTTTGCAAAGTGTTGGAGGAACCCCGATGATCAGCGCTAAGTCCGGTAGGTCTTGCGATGCAGAAAATTCCGACCAGGCAGGAGTTTCTGACAAAGTAGGGTCTTGGTCTTATATTATACTAGATTATACTATATTGTAATATTATCTTATTCTATATTATACTATATCACATTATATACTATATTATATTGTATTTTGAGTTTAAGGGGAAGCCGGGCTATAGCATAGGCATGTCTAGGCTACACTCCAAAAGGAAGGGGGGGGGGTTAAGGGTTTAGGGTTTAGGGTTTAGTGTTTAGGGTTTAGGGTTTAGGGGGAGTATGTTGGGGACTACTACAGGGCATATTAAGTGAGATACGAAGAGTTGAGATTAGTTTCATATACCATAATCCATTATAATGTAATCATATGTTAGAGTATATCATAATATACTATATTATACCATATGATACTATATTTTATTATAATATATTATACTATATGATGCTATATTCTACTATATTATACTATAAGGTACTATATTGTATTATATTATATTGTATTATACTGTATTATACTATATTTTTTGCATTCTATTATATTACATTATACTATACTGTATTATAATATCCTATGCCTCAGGTGAACCCATATCATGGCGATTCAGCGGCCCTCCTCGGGTCCGGCCTCAAGGATTTGAATCCAGCAGAGGCAGAACCCTAAGCCCCTATACCCTAAGCGCATAACCCCCAAACCCCTAACCCCTAAACCCAAACCCCTAAACCCCTAGACCCTAAACCCTAAACACCAAAACCCTATCCAGCAGAGGCAGTCAAGGTCAAGAACAGGCTCCGACTGCGCTTGGGCGCCACTTCCTCCAACAAGCTTGTCTCTGGCAGGTCGCTTCTGGATGCGGTTGTTGCCCTTGGCCTGACAACTTATCATGAAGACGACATGAATGATTTTGTTAATCATCTCGCCGATTTCGTGGGTCTACATTTCGAACAGGATGTAGAGCGAAGAGAGAGACGGCCGAGCCAGTCGTTGAATTCCTTGTCCATGTTCAGAGCGCCAGAAGACCCTTTCGTGTTGGGCAAGCCCAAGTGGAGTTGGCCGAGTGGAGAGATTTCGCACGGACCACATTCACTTCATTCACATCATCTCCCCTCCCGCTCGATGACCAAGGGCATGTCTCACTTGCCGGACGGGCAGGCTACGCGCACCTTCAATGTCGTTCCTGCTCAAGCGCTCATGGATGTCTTCCTTTCCCAGGAAGCTGATATCCACAAGCGAATCTTCGGACCAAGGCTGATGAATCAATTCCGTGCCATGCGTGAAATCCTTCTTGCTGGTGATACCAACAGGCTTGTGGCAGAGCTAACATTTGTGAGAATTAATGACCTGGCGGCGCCGCCCGAGCCTGTACATCCTTTGATGTACATAGAGCCTTTGGTGGCAATACTCATTGTGCTGAATGGCGTCATGATCGGCTTCCAAACTGACCCTGCCTATGAGAATTGGAGTGGCTGGGCATATGTGGACCTCGCTTTTCAAAGCTGCTTGTTGCTGGAGATACTGTTTCGCATGCATCTTCTGCGTTGCCGGAATTATTGGTGGGGTACGGAGAGTTATTGGAATTGGTTTGACCTTTTCCTCTTTGGGAGTGGCCTCGCTGATGTTCTTCTGCAGTTCACCGGCGATCAGCAGTCAGACATGGCAGGGACTTCGCTTTTGCGTTTCTGCCGATTGATTCGACTAGTTCGGATCGTCAAGGTGAGCGGGCTGAACATGTCGGCCTTTGTAAGGATTTGATATGATTTGATGGAATCGCACATAATCCCACATGCCTAGTGCACAATTCTTAGTTGACCCGCATGCCGTAACTCGAGCCACCAACGAGGTGTTTCGCATCAAGTTCATGCGAGACCTTCGGTTGATGGTCAAGGGATTGATTGCTGGCGTCAGGACGCTAGCTCTCGCCTTTGTACTACTCTTCACTGTCCTTTATGTGATCTCTGGCTTTGCGGCTATGACCATTGGTAGCAGCCAGACAACTGTTGACATAGGGCTGGATGGATTCTTCTACAACATCCCATCTTCCATGTTCACAGCTTTCAGGTGTTTCACCGGCGAATGCATAGACAACGATGGGAAACCGATACACTCGAAACTGGCAGACGCGTTTGGCCTGCCTTTCATTGCCGCTTATGTTGCCAGCTACATGCTTGTGTCGATGGGCATCTTTAACCTGATCTTGGCTGTGTGTCTAGACCTTCTTTACTGCCTGGCATGATTTTGGTGGCTGACGCTTGTTTTTGGGAAGGGGTAGTTGGATGTTTAAACTTTCAGGTATCGAAATGGTAGTTTGCCAAATAGGCAGACCCCAGTATAGATCCCCAAATTCTACAGTCATTTTTATGGGGACCCCCAAACAGGTACCCCTAATTGTGGGAAACCCTTAACCCTATATAACCCCTATGTCACCTTTAAAGGTACCCCTTATTTTGGCAGCCTCCACATATTTTATTTCTGAGGTATGTGGATATCACAATGAAAGCGGCAAAGGAGAACGAAGCGCAGACAGCAGAGCAGTACTCGCGGGAGTCCATCCGAATCGCTCGCACCACCCGTGACTTTTTGGGTGCTTAAAGGGGGGTTCGGGGGACTGAATATAGGTACATATAGGTGTGAGAGGCACCTCTGGGGTCTATTTGACCAAGCTATTTTCTCTTTAAAATAT